GAGGAGAGGGAGAGAGAGAATGAGAGAAAGAAAGAGAGAGAAAGAGAGAGGGGAGGGGGAGAGAATGAGAGAAAGAAAGAGAGAAAAAAGAAAGAAAGAGGGGAGAGAGAGAGAGAGAAGAAAAAGAAAGAAAGGAAAAAAAGAGGGAGAGAGAGAGAATGAGAAGAAAGAGAAACTCACAGTCTCTTAGTGATTGGCTCAAAGTTACCCAGCTGACTTTTATGGCTAAGTCAGGACTTGAACTCACCCCTTCTTGCTTTCTAACCCAGTTCCTTAACCACTAAACCAAACTGGCTCTTTCTAAAAATCTCTTTCAAGGGCCTGGCTTTGTTAAGCAGCCCCAGAGGAAGCTCCGTTACTCGCAGGGCGGCCGGTTTCCCAATGCTCTTCCTATGCATTGTGACAGGGGAGGGTCCCGCCGAGTCACGGCCTCTTCTGACTCACTGCATTCAGACACTACTCACCTTGGCCGACCAACCGATCTCCCACAGCTCAGACCAGACAGTGGATTTGCCCCAGGTAAGGACGCAGCTGTTGGATCAGGGGTGGTATTCAAATTACTCTATTACCGGTTCTGTGGGTGTGGTATGGCTTGGTGGGCGTGGCTGGGTGGGCGTGGCTGGGTGGGCGTGGCAGGGGAAGGTTACTGCAAAATCTCATTCCCTCCCCACCCCACTCACCTGCTTTCCAGCTCCTTTCTCCTGTGCAGGGCAACCAAAGAAGACCTAGCCACTCGAGAGGCGGGGCCAGTCAGAGGCGGTATTTGCAGGTTCTCCGAACTACTCAAAATTTCTCCTACTGGTTCTCCAGAACCGGTCAGAACCTGCTGAATACCACCTCAGTGCCAAATGCGGCAACCAGAACCATTTGTGAATAACAAAAGTTAGTAACTTCATTGCTTGCCACCTATGCTACAAGAATCTGCCCAGCCTGCTTGCCTTCCCAGGGGAATAACCAGACAAGGCTTCATGGATTTGGGAGGAGGTCAACCTTAGGGCACTAGTGTAAGGACTCCATGCTAGATCATCACTTGACTCCTTCCTTCCAACCTGGCTGATAGACTCACAACAACAGCAAAATTAAGCAATAGTATCACCTTATAGGAGAAATCGGCAGCATTAAAAATACAATAAATACAATAAGATCACGAGGTATGGCCACTCTGTAAGTGTGAATAGAATACAGTAGAGTAGAGTAGAGTAGAGTAGAGTAGAGTGTAGAGTAGAGTAGAGTAGAGTGTAGAGTAGAGTAGAGTAGAGTAGAGTAGAGTAGAGTAGAGTAGAGTAGAATAGAATAGAATAGAATAGAATAGAATAGAATAGAATAGAATAGAAGCTAGAAGGGACCTTGGAGGTCTTCTAGTCCAGCCTTTTGCTCAAGCAGGAGAACCTATACCATCTCACAGAAGTGACTATCTAGTCTCTTCTTAAAAACCTCCTTTGAAAACCTTCTTAAAAACCAAAGGTGGGGAAATCATATTTCAATAGAGTTCTGTTAGCAATAAAGGAGAATATTTGTAGGTCAGGGTTTGAAATGTGGGGTCCTCGGTGCTCTCTGAGCTCGGTTGTTTTCTTCCAGGCATTTCACAATCTAGGCCTGATGATGTTACCTAGTTGGGTAACGAAATGTCTGCAAGAAAACAACCAAGCTCAGAGAGCACCATGGGACCCCTTAGTTCTGTCAGCTTTCCCTTCAGAAAGCCTGCTAAACCATCAGGTTTGTTGCGTGAACTCAAATCGCCAGGGTTCACTCTACTCTCTGCTTGGGTGAGGGTTGGACTAGATGACCTACAAGGTCCCTTCCAAGTCTGTTAATCTGTACCTGTACTTTATGGTCCAGCAGAGGCGTGAACTACTGAACCCTGAAGAAGACAAGCCAGGACTTCCATGTGACGTCTGCACCGAGTCCTAATATTCTGATCAATTCTGGCCCGTGTGTGACTTGATCTCTTTTCTTTTGTCTTCGGTAGGTTTCTGCCGTCCACGTGCTTCAAACGTTAGTCCGTGGTTCCAACCTTGGACCTGCTCTGCAACAGCACATCACGTCCCTGATGGTGTTGGTTCTCAAGGCTCTAAGCTCCCCTAGTTGGGCTATGAGAAACGCAGCCAACCAACTTTTCGGTAAATTTCATTCATGGTCTTCCTTTGGAAGCTTAGATCTATTTGATCTAAGGCCACACAATACAGAGTTATGGTTCCATTTAACAATTGCTTTGTTTAATGACTGACTTGCCGGCTCCAACTGTGGTCTCTAAACAAGGATGATCTATACATTCATGTGGGGGTTTTTTTTTGGAACACGCTTCTAACTTCCTATCTTTGCTTTCCTCCAGGTGCCTTGACCGTCCGCCTCCTTGGGCAGAAATGGAGTCCGGAGGATGACCGTGCCAAGGATGGCATAAGCCCTGAAGCTCTTTTTGGCCGACATGTTCACCTGAGAAGCATCCTACTTGAAGAATTGTCCTTGGCTGTGGAAGTGTCCGTATTCAAAGGACCCAGAAGAGGGAAATTCCACCTCTGTCCTTCCCTGTATGCTGTCCTTACTTTTCTGGCCAAGCTGCAGCCCAGCGGAGACACCCAGGACAGGTAAGCTGAGAAATGGGAGAAGGCTCTTTGGTGGGAACTCAAAACCAAGGTGAAATCACCAAGGTGGAGCCACTGAGTCATTTGAAGTTGGTAAAACTATGAAGACTCTTGAGTTCAAGGCCGTTCAGTGTGCAGGAGAAGCATCTCAACAGTAGCACTGGCTAGCTAACATCTCTAGCACTGATGATGCGACCTAGTTTGGCTAATGAAACGTTTGCAAGAGAACAACCAAGCTCAGAGAGCATCAAGGATCCCACAGTCGTCCTCCTCCTCCCTCCTTCCCTCCCTCTCTTCTTCTCCGCAAACCCCACTCCCTTCTAGCACTGATGAGGTTACCTAGTTGGGTCATGAAATGTCTGCGAGAAAACCACCAAGCTCAGAGAGCACCCAAGGACCCTACAGTTCTCCTCTTCCTCCTCTCCCTTCTAGTCCTGATTATGTTACTTAGTTGGGTAATGTGGCAAGAAAAGTCATAAAAGGGTGCGGAATGAATGTTTCACTTTGCAACATAAATATCGGACTCCCTTGTAGTCCTAACTCAAGGACTGCCTCTACCTCAGAGGCTTCCATTCCAGAGATTGTCCTGCGAGTTTCTCAATTGCCACTTGAGTTTCCACCCAAAACTGATCGATTCCCCTCCTCTTTTGCTTGTTTTATTCTCTCCAGCACTCTCACCTGCTTCTTGGAGCCCCTGATCCAGCTGTCAGGAAACCCCGTCTATGCCGTTCGGGTGATGGCCGCCAAAGCTTTGGTGCCTTTCATTCCAGTGACGGATTATGGAAAGATCCTTCTGCGGTTGGCATCCAGATTCCCGCAGCCGGAAGCCGCTCTGTCCCATAATGCATTGCATGGATGTCTGCTGCAGATCCAGGCTGTGTTGAATCAAGCTTTGAAGTTCGATCGGTACGTTTGCTTTCCAACTCTGCAAAATATATGACGGATAGTTCAGAGGGGGTATTCAGCTGGTTTGGACCGGTTCTAGAGAACCGGCAGCGGAAATTTGAAGTAGTTCGGAGAACCGGCCAATCCCACCTCTGACTGCCCCGCCAACCCCATCTCTTCTCCGCCTCCCATTGAGTCCCAGCTGATCATTTGGGTCTCCTTTTGTTGCCCTGTACAGAAGAACGGAACTGGAAAGCAGGTTAATGGGGTGGAGAGCAGAGGTGGTATTCAGCCGGTTCGGACCGGTTCTACAGAACCGGTAGCGAAAATTTCGAGTAGTTTGGAGAACCGGCCAATGCCGCCTCTGACTGGCCCCACCAACCCCATCTCTTCTCTGCCTCCCATTGAGTCCCAGCTGATCGGCTGGGTCTTCTTTGGTTGCCCTGCACAGGAGAACGGAGCTGGAAAGCAGGTTAGTGGGGTGGGGAGGGAATGGGGATTTTGCAGTAACCTTCCCCTGGAGGCAGTGGTGGGATTCAAATATTTTTACTACTGGTTCTGAGGGTGTGGCTTGATGGGCACGACTGGGGAAGGACACTGTAAAATCCCCATTCCCTCCCTACCCCACTAACCTGCTTTGCATCTCCGTTCTCCCATGCAGGGCAACCAAAGAAGGCCCACCCGATTAGCTGGGACTCAGAAGGCAGAGAATAAATTGGGGCGGGACCAGTCAGAAGCGGGATTGGCCAGTTCTCCAAACTACTCAAAATTTCCGCTACCAGGTCTCCAGAACTGGTCAGAACCTGCTGAATACCACCTCTGGAATGGAGATTTTACAGCATCCTTCCCCTACCACGCCCACCAAGCCACACCCACAGAACCGGTAGTAAAAAAAATTGAATCCCACCACTGGGGTAGTCCTTGACTTATGACCACAATTTTTGTTATTAATTTGGGTCCAGTTTCTTGCGGTTCTTCTAGAATAAATACCAATGCCTGTAATTTACAAAATGGCTGTCATTTGTATTTTTCTTTTTTAATTTCCATTCTTTTTTATTTTTGAATCTTGTCTAATGTTTCTATGTAATACTTCTAACGCTAATATCAATAGTAAAGGGGGACAGCAGGGGACATCCTTGTCTTGTGCCTTTCCTTATATTAAAGTCGCGTTAAGTCTTCAGCATCCTCTCTCTCCCAGATGTGGCCAAAAACAGACCTCAAAACCAGCCAAAATGCAAATGCTTTTTGTTGGCATCATGTTTAAAGAACTCACTGAATAAATAAATATCAGTCCGTGCTGCTAAAAAAACACTTTGCTTTTTTCAATTGGCAGAGCAATTTTATTTTGCAAAACAGCAGCTCACACTGCTCAGCTGATGTTTCAACATCTGCTTTTCAGGCTGCATCCAGAGTTGCTGCGGTCCGTGGCCTGCATGATGGAAAGCCACATCTGGTTGCTGATGGACATACGACGGTGCCCGTTAATCTGTGCTGTTTACCTTCAGGTTTTGTCCTTGGTGCTACGAAGCTGTTCTCCAGGTTTTGTGCAGCAAGTGTGGGAGCTGTTGTACGGGGATCTGGCCAGTCCTAAACCTGGTTTCTCTCCTATCCAGGTATCTAGGATGGTCAGGGCTGAGAACCAATACAATGGATCAAAACAGAAGTTCCTGGTTTTGCTAAAAGGCCCTACTTTTAATTTAAAAAAAACAAAATTGAGGTGGTGTGGTTCGCTGGCAGCCAGTGTAGATGGCAGCAGAATCGGACAGTGAGGAAGAAAGGGGAGGTCAGTCAGGGAGTCTGGAGAGGACTCGGACGAGGGTCCTGCATCCGATGCAGGGATGGGGCCAGGACCATCTGAGAGTGGGTGCTGCCTTTGGAGCCTTCGGAGTCTGGCAGCAGCGAGGCAGAAGAGCAAGGGGAGCCTGTTCCCAGTGTGCATATGCGCAGAGCTGCTAGAAGGCGAGAGGCAGCTAAAGCATAAAGAGCAACTCGGGAGTAAGGCTGGGAGGTAATTGCCCCTCCCATCAGGGATAAAAGTCAAACCTCAATGACGAAACCTTTGCAGGAAGCAAAGTAGTTCGATAGATTCCATGTTCCCCTTGAAGCTCTGTGTACTATGGTAGTTTTTTTTCTAGTACTTCGGTTGGTTTCTTTTATAAATTGGATACTTCTGTTTTTGGCAACATTCCACAGCACTGAAAGGTGTGTGCTTATCTTGGGGAACTGTCTAAGATTAGAAATGGCTGGGAATGAAAGTAATTCCCAGCGTTGCATTAAAATAAGTTTTGCTTTTAAAACAAGTTTGTGTTTTAAGTACGTTTGATGAAGCCCGGGTCAGAACAGGTGGGAGGGAAGACATTCTCCATGTGCTTTGTCATTCTTGAGGCGTGTGGGATTACAACTTACATCCTCCCCATCCAGCTTGTGAGTGAGGGGGATGGAGGTCACAGGTTGAGGAAGGTGGGCTCAGAAGAAAACCTGGGAGAAAAACAATGGATGGAGATGGGTTGTCACCTTGTTGAAAAAAGACACGGACCAATGGCTTTTTTTGGATCTTCTTCCAGCTTGGTTCTTCCAACTTCTGCCAGTGTGCTGTCAATTTCCTAAGCCAAGAAGCCACAAGACAGGAATCTCCGGAAAGAATCCGTGATCTAAGCTTGCTTCTGCAAAAAGGAAATCCTGACGTGCAAGTTGCTGTTCTAACTTGGTTGTTGGACAACGAGGAAGGGAAAGGCTTGAAGTCTAACAAGGAACTGCAGTTGATATTCATGGTGAGATCTGGTTTTTATCCCAGCAAGATCGGAGATGGTGAACCTCAACCACTGGTCCATACCAAAATGCTGAGGGGTCTTCTAAGGAAATGTAGAGAGGATTACTGGGTCAAACTGGGATCTACAAATGTCAGATGTTCTCCAGAAGAACTTCTGGTTCCAGTGTTGGCCAAACTGATCAACATTCCTTTAACATTCCAGGAGTCAAGGGCCATGTTCATAATGGGTGGGATCCCACATTGCCATAATATGTGTTGTGGCCCGCCGATGGCTGGCAGAGCTGGCAGCAGAGTCGGACAGTAGTGAGGAGGTTGGGGAGGAACCTGGGCCAGTCCTGGAAGCTGAGGAAAGCACAGATGAGGGCTCTGCATCAGAGGCAGAGATGGGGCTCGGACAGCAGTGAGGCAGGGGAGCATCTGGAACTGGTTCCCAGCCTGTGCATGCACAGAGCTGCCAAAAGGAAGGAACAATTAAGAACTTAGGGTCAATGTGGGAGTTAAGGCCACAGGTGGATGATGAATGGCCCCTCCCATCAGGATTAAAAGAGGCGCTTTTGCAGGAAACAACTCGCTCGCTCGGTTCATCTGTTTGTTCCAGCCTTGTGAAGATTTGTCTGTATAACCCAGCCCTTCCCTGTCAGCACTGAGTGTGGAATTATACCTGGCAGCATTCCAGAATTGATGAAGGCTGAGCTAATTAGTATAACTTTGCAAGACTGTTTGCCAAGCCGTTGGCTGACTGCGAATGAAATAAATTCACATTGATGTAATAAAAGAGGTTTTTGCCAGTACTCAGAATTGACTTTGTGCTTTTTGGGGAGGCCCAGGACAGAACAAGGTGATCAATTTAGTTTAGGGCTTGATGTCATGTGTGAACCTAGGTATTGTGGCTTGCAAGCCCTAGCATAGTATGAAATGTCAACCAGGTCTTCTTCCACAAACCATGGCTTAAGCATGATACATAAGAACAAAACAAAGAACACCCTTATTTCTCTTTCCCCTTTGGGGAACACTTTCTCAATTCTGTTACAGGGGCATTTATTTTGGACACAAAATATGTTTCCTTTTCTTTGCCTTAGGAAAAATTCAAGGAGATCCTGAAAAACACAGGAGATCCCACAGTCCTGAAGTTGTACTTGAAAGTTTTTGTCCATTTGTTTGGCAACGTTGCTGAAGGACAGCCTTTCCCAGAGAAATTAGCTCTGGAGTGTGGTGAAATCCTGTTCTCTATGGTAGAGAATGACCACCAAGGTCCCGGACTGCGCAGTCATGCAATGTGTGCAGCCACATTGTTCCTCAGTCAACAGTAAGTAGCAGGCGGAGGTCGAGAACCAACAATTGATGAACAATTGAGGGAAGTAGGTATGTCTAATCTAACAAAGAGAAGGACTAGGGGGGATTGTCAGGATTCCAGCAGTTACCCCCATTTAAATTATGAGTCTCGAGCCGAACTTCCAAACTTTCAAAAGGATTTATTAGGAGTTAACGTGTCCAGCACTGCCTGGGTGTAACCGACTCCGAGGCACATAATTGTCACCCTTGACCCTGGTTTTCCCCCCACCCCCTGGGTGTATCGTAACTCATATTCTCCAATGGGACACCTCCATAGCCAGTTAGATATTTGCATGGCAGAAACTTCAGCCACCTAGTTACTATCTCCGAAAAAACTATTTATGGAATGCACTTAACGATTTCCAAGCTGATTTCCCCTTTCCCTTTCCATTGGCAGCGCTAAAAGGACCATAGAAATATTTTCTGATTCAAGGTCAGGTTGTGTTGCCCATAAGTGAGAAGTCTCCAATTGGGACGGATGGTGATTGGGCCATGTGATGTGAAGATGGGTGCAGGGGATGGATTTGTAGTTTTTACTTTTTTGTAAGGAAGCCCGGAACTTTCAGATTCGGGATTCCACAGTTGTGCCCGTTACTATCCAAGTAAAAAGGAATCTTTTGAGAGATGTCTGTCTCGGAGTTATTGGGTGGAATGGAGGGTTGCTGGAAGGCTGACACCTATGTTCTTCTCCAATGGAATCTACCCATGCTGGCTGGGGAATCCTGGGAGTTGAAGTCCACCCGTCTTAACCTTGCCATGGTTGAGAAACCCTGATCCAAGGGACCTCCAGGACTTGAACCCCACACATGAGCCACTTTGCCTTCTTAGAAGTAAAAGAGGATCCGGTTGGAATCCAAAGAAGTAGATCCACAGCTATTCCTGCAGTGTAACTGTCTTTCTTTTGGGGCAGCCCCGAAGGCGGTCCTTTACGGGAACGATGGATTGCAATGGTAGAGCACTGGAGCGACTCCCTTTCAGACGAGGTGCTCAGGATGGCTGCAGCCAAAGCCGCCCAAATGGGTGGCCCAGCATGGATTTGGAGAGCCCGGACTTCGTCCAACTTCCTCCTTCGTTCCCAGGTTCTACGGTATGTCCTTTTGCAAACAGCACCTGCACGGACATCTTAGAACAGTTGCTGTGGTCCCCAAATTCTCCAGAATACAACCGGTTGCGATTCTGTCACTTTTCCCACCAGTGTTGGGAGATTGGGTTGTTTCCCACTATGCTCCGATGTGCAAACGTTCTGGGGCATTATGGGTAAACTAAGTTAAGAACTAGAGGGGTGGAGTTAGAATCTGCCAACCTGGGCTGCTTGGAGTGTGTACCACTAGGAAGGGAGAGCTCTGTGTAGTGTTTCTTTTCGAATAAATGCTCATCACAGTGATATTGCGATGACCCAGGGTGGGATATACAAAACAAACACAGTCACAGAAAACAGGTGAAGCCCCTTTTATTCCTTCACTTTGCTCATGCGCTCCACACAGGAGAATTGTTTTGAGAGAGTGCGCCGCGTGCAAGTGGCTTTGTTTTTTCTTCTTCAATTTATTTGTGTCCGGGGGGGGAGGGGCCAGCCAGGAGTGGGATTTGGGGGTTCTCTGAACTGCACAGAATCTTAGTGAGGGGCCTCTTCTGAACCCCCACGAACCCCCCAGCAGCCCAACCCTGATTTCTCATCCCATCTTAACCTCGACTTTCCTATGAACTGGAAAGAGTTCATAGTTTTGAATTCCTAGGAACTCATATTTCCGACAACCTTACTTGGTGGGTCCACACTATGGCCACTGCAAAGAAGGCCCAACAGCGCCTGCACTTTCTGAGGCTGCTGAAAAAGAGTGGTCTGGGTGAGAAGTGGCTGGTTACTTTTTACCGTTCTACCATCGAGAGCATTTTGGCATACTGTGTGACGGTGTGGTATGCTGGATGCTCTGTAGTGGATAAGAAGATGCTCCAGAGAGTTAGAAACACAGCACAAAAAAATCATCGGTTGCTCTCTTTCTTCTTTGGAAGAGATTGCGAAGACCAGACTCCTCTCCAGAGCACAAAAAATCTCCAGAGACCGTTCTCATCCTGGACATTCATATTTTGAACTGTTACCATCAGGGAGGCATTATAGGTGTCTTAAAATGAGGACTAATAGACTGAGAAACAGTTTCTTTTCCAAAGCAATAATTGTCTTGAATCAAACTGTGCATTTGTGGTTTAGTCCTATGTATAGTGGCATTTAAAAACTATTTAACTTACTAAATGTTTTAGATAGGTTTTAGGTTTTTAATTATTATTATTTTAATTATTTTAATTTTTAAATACTCTGTAGTGTGATTGTGATGTGGTGTTTGGGGCACTGTGCTGGAGTAGCTTTCAAAAAGCTATCCTATCCTATCCTATCCTATCCTATCCTATCCTATCCTATCCTATCCTATCCTATCCTATCCTATCCCATTCCATTCCATTCTCTACTCTACTCTACTCTACTCTATTATTCTACTCTACTCTACTCTACTATTCTATTCTATTCTATTCTATTCTATTCTATTCTATTCTATTCTATTCTATTCTATTCTATTCTATTCTATTC